GCAGCAAAAGGTGGCGCTACAAAGTATTAACTTAAGGGGGCTGAATAATTTTGCACGCCCAATTTTTCAGTTTTTTATTTGTTAAAAAAGTTTGACATATCCAATAAATTTCGTTCCACTTCATGATTGTGTCCCACTTGTTGTTGATTCTTCACAAAAAATTACAGTTTTATATCTTTATGTTTGAAGCCTGAAATGTGGCAAAAGGTCGCAAAGTTCAAGGGGGCCGAATACTTTCGCAAGGCACTGTACATACTGTAGGTCCAGACTTTTTTCTGTATGTATGTATGTTTTATATGTACCTGATGTGCACTGTACCTCTTTTTTCCCCTTTTTGTAGGTTTGAGAAGTTCCTGTGGTTCATCAGCTCAGAGAATTATCTCATCATTGCAGGAAGGGACCAGCAGCAGAACGAGATCATTGTGAAACGCTACTTCAGGGCTGGTAATGGACAAACTTTCACACGCACGGTCTTACCTTAAATAAACACCTCAGTTATGAAGGTATTCAAAACTGAGCTGCTTTACCTCATTATGTGTACTTTTATTTTGACAGGTGATATCTATGTTCATGCTGACCTCCATGGAGCAACTAGTTGTGTCATTAAAAACCCCTCAGGTACATAGAACCTAGTGGATCAACCCTGATCAGTTTGTGCGCTACTGAATGTTACTTTTAAAAATAATTTGACGTCCTACCCCTCTCCACCTCTGGTTGTCCTTGTTCCAGGCGTTCCTGTCCCTCCTCGTACTCTGACGGAGGCTGGCACTATGGCTGTGTGTTACAGTGCTGCTTGGGATGCCAAGATCGTCACCAGCGCATGGTGGGTCCATCATCATCAGGTGAGTCACGGATGTTGGACGGCTACACTGGATAGCTGTGTCTGGCTCCTCCCTCCTCTCAATGTTTCTGGAAGGAGGCGACTATTCGCGGTTTGAAAAATGGTTTTTAGAACCTTCACTAGGTGGCAGGCAGGGCCAATTCGCAGGCCATATTTTGTCAAGTTTAAAAAAATTGGAATAACAATAGAAGGGTTGTGTAGCTGTGCAGTGACTGAAGTAGTTAAATTATATTTTTTGCCTATTTTTGTGTAGTTAACTACTGCGACTACAAATAAATTTCAGGCATGAAAAGAAAGGAATAATGTTTTATTTTTATTTTACCATTGCCTCTAACCCTAACCACCTTTTGGATAAGAACTCTGAGAGACTTCTCATGTGCTGTAAAAGTATTTTAAATCAGAGTCATCTTTAATGGCCAAGTATGTTTGAACCTACAGGAATTGTGACTCCAGTACAGGGACTCTCAATGTGTTGTAAGGCAACAGGAATAGAAAATAACAATGAGAATAAAAATAGAGCAATAACATGAGAATAAACTGTGTGTGCATTAAAGAGAATGTGTGCAACCAAAAATAGGAGAACAAAAGAGACAGCATTTATATGTATATGGGCATTATGGTAGAAGAGCTTTCAGACTGATGTATACAGTGGTTATATTTACACCAAGGTTATTACAAACACAGTGGAGACCCTTTCATAAAAACACTGCCCATAATTATGCTCTTGGCCATAAACTCCACAGGATATCGTAAACATATAAGTGCAAAGTGTGATATCAAATAATAGACTATGAGCAACAAAAGAATTAAAATTTGACATTGCTCTTTAGTGATAAGCATTAATATATTTATTATTTTTCTTTAGGTGTCTAAGACAGCTCCCACTGGAGAGTACCTGACCACTGGAAGTTTCATGATCAGAGGTATAAAACACTAGTTTTTTATTCACCAGAAGAGCCCCAAGGACATCAAACATAAAACTTTATTATTTCTGTTGTATTTCTATTCAGGAAAGAAGAATTTTCTGCCCCCTTCTTACTTGATTATGGGCTTTGGATTCCTCTTCAAGGTAAATAACATAGTGAGCTGTGAATACATTTAAGCTCTGTCCTCCAAACAGAAATGTTTCATGATCTCCTGTATACAGGTAGACGAAGAGAGTGTGTTTCGGCACAAAGGGGAGCGAAAAGTGAAGACTGTGGAGGAAAACATGGAGGAGGTCACATCCAGAACTGCAGAGCTGTTAGAGGAGGGAGAGGAGCTAATAGGTAGGACATAATCATACCAACTGCTTTGTATTTACTGTAGTCGAGTACTGGAACTGATTCGGTTGCTTTTTCAGGTGATGACAGCAGTAATGAAGATCGAGGTGAAGAAGGAGCAGAAGGAGATGGAGAGAACAAGGAGGTGAAAAAGGCAAACACGGTTGAAGGGGGTGATGTTGCGAGCAGAGACCTGAGCACTGTTCCTGAGGAGGCTGCAGCAGACACAGGAGAGAGGCCGTCAGAGCAGAGGAACATGGAGGTGGAGGGAGAGGAAGACGACGGGAAGGATGAAGAGAGTGATGAATTCAGCTTTCCTGATACAACCATCTCCCTCACTCATTTACAGCCCAGCAGGTAATGTTACCACTGCTACACACTGGACCAAACACTTCAGGAAGAGATTGATACTTCCCAGCTCACTACTAATAGTTCCATCACTGCACATGACAATAAATAGTACCTAAATAAAGTCTCTTTATTTCTAGGAATACTCCAAACCCTGGCTTCAAAAAGGAAACAACCACTCAAGTAATTAGTTACAGCCATATTTATTTATAATTCCATCAAATCATACATTTCTACCACTTCATCTTCTGATATTAATCTCTTAATTTGCTTTAAGGCTGATGCAGACTGTCAGGGGAAGAAACACATGACTGCCAAGCAGAGACGGTGAGTGAATGGAACAAAAACACATGTAACTTGATAAAGGTGAGCAGGATCATCATCCTTTGAAAAAAACTATACGTCTTCAGCACACAGAGACTTACTTCCAACTCGAATGAGTTAAACCTCTCATAACACCTTGTTCAGTGAACATATTGGAGACAGACTGTGGAAATCAAGTGAAATAACCGACATGCGCTTTAGTGGAAGCTTGCTCCTTATGTTTTCATAATTTTTGAGGCATTTCGCCTTTTTCCCCAAACTAAAGTTGACTATATTTTATATAGCTTTTATAGAAGTGTTGATTGGTCCAAAGAGGCATGACCAGCCTCAGGTGCTTTTGTCTTTGCCACTAGAGAAGAGAAAAAGAAGAAGCAGAAACAGGAGGGTTGTGACAATGAGGAGAAGCCTGAGGTTCCATCTGGTGGATCGGCAGTTGATCAGGGCTCCAAAAATGGAGGAGGAGGAGGGGGAGGTTCCTCGCAGCAGCCACTGAAGAGAGGCCAGAGGGTAAGAGGAGTTTGGAGAGAAGCTGAGGGCCAGATCTTAACACGGATTCTGAAACATTTTCTTTTTAAAAACTTACAAATCCTTTTTTATGGGAGATAAATCAAAAAGAGAAACATAAAATATACAGGAACATTCAAGAGAGTGAAATAAACCTCAGAAGAAAAACACATTAAGTAACAATGTAATTTTTAAAAACGACATTAGGAAAAGGTTTTTCCAGTACGAGTTGCTAAAAGAGGCCTATAATATTTCAGATGAGGTCAAGAATTCTTAAGCAGCAGTATACACGTTTTAGGTGTTGTAATGTTCTTATTTGATGGATGCATGTTGAACTCATGCTTCCGCCTGTACACGTTTTTCCTCCTGTTGTCACCAAGAACAAGATGAAGAAGATCAAAGAGAAGTACAAAGACCAGGATGAAGAGGACAGGGAGCTCATGCTGCAGCTCCTCGGGGTGAGGAAGAATAACAATGACCCCACAACCTTTGTCACACTGTGGCGACTCCTGTACAGTGTTGTTCCTCTTTCATACCGACGCAGTAAATAACACCGACTCTCTTTCTCTCTTAGTCAGCAGGTTCCACCAAAGAAACCCCCCTCTCAGAAACCTCGTCACGTGGAGACTGCAGCGAGGAAACCAGAGCTGACGGAAGGAGAGGATGAGGAGAGGAAGCCTGGGGAGGAGGGAGGTGAACAGGAGGACAAGGTAGATAAGTGTCAAGAATATTGTCCATCCTCTTCAGTTGTTTTTTGTATTGACTAGATACTAAATAGAGTAATATGTAGTAATTTAACCCTTTAGACTCTTGGACTATTTTTGGCTGTTTTGATTTTACCTTTCTATAATGAAGAAATGTTTGGTATAACATTTTTCAGCACACCCTCATCTATTATGACCTGACAATTATTTTTACACTTTGATAGACTACATTGATGTCCGTGATCATTGACTCCTGAGTTATCTGCTAATTTACAACAGAATGTAATTTGACAAATACTGTGCTTTGGCCAGAGACAGTAACTAATCAACCACTATAAACACAAGGATGAGCAAATGTTAGTTTTAATCTTGACCTTTTTTGATTTAACTGCCAAATACCAGTTTCTCCTTACTGGTTTTTTTTTTTTTACAATTCTATACATTAACTAAAGATGTCTTCTATATCAGGATGATGATATAGACCAGGACAACCCTGGAGCAGAGGTAGGTTTTCACTGTAAAACATTTTAACTGTGGAAAATTTGAAGGTTTAACAAGATAAGACATTTACTCCTTGACTAAATTTCTGTAATGCTTAATTCTGAATCATTCATTTTAACCCAGTAACACGGCTGCTGCTTTGTGTAATTTAGCATTTTTGTCATCTCAGGAAGCAGAGAATCTGCTCACCTCTCTGACAGGACAGCCGCACCCTGAAGATGTGCTGCTGTTTGCTGTGCCAGTCTGTGCTCCCTACACTGCCCTTTCCAACTACAAGTATGTGTAACAAAAATCCATCAACATTTGGATAAAAAAAAAAGAAATTAAGAGTGCACGGACTAAGTTTTTTTTTTTTTTTTTTTTTTTCCCCATGCAGACATAAGGTGAAACTGACACCAGGTTCTCAGAAGAAAGGAAAAGGTAAGAATAAATTCACTGTAATGTTCATCAACCAGTAACTTTCTTTAGTGACATTTGTTTTTCCTGCCAGCTGCCCGCACTGCAGTTCTCAGCTTTATGAAAGCCAAAGAGGGCTCAACCAGAGAAAAAGACCTGTTCCGTAGCGTCAAGGTAAAGAATTTAACTGCATTTTAATAGCAGAACAATTCTATTCTTAACATGCAGTGCCAAAAAAAAAAAAAAATCAACCGGTAAAGCAAGAGAATTCACTGTTAAAGCTGTTTTTAGATATGTGTTGCACTCACAGCGGGGGTGAGCGCAGCAAAGGGGAAGAGGGCGCACGTTAGGCACCAGTTGCTATGCAACCAAAAAGTTTACCAGGAGGTGGTTAGAACAAATTTTTCGGGCAGCAGACTCAGATGCACAATGTACCCATCTACATGTCAGTGAAAAGCTCTGGCTTTAGTTGTATTGATGAGGAGGAGGAGACGAGCTGCAGTGAAGAAGAAGGTGGTATGGGTCTGCCATGTTCTCTGGCATTGGATGCGTTGAAGTGTCGTCACAGAGAGCGCTGCGCCCAAGTTTTTTTTTTTTTTTTTTACTTCAGTGCACAGCGCGCATCATGTCCAATCTGAAAACGGCTTAACAATAAAAGACTTACTGTTTTGCAGTCTTAAATCACCTCTTCCATTGCTACTTTGAGCTGTAGGTCACTGACGCCACTCCTCGTTAGATGCATAGGGCATCTTGAGATTTAAAAGAAAAAAATCTATAATCAAAATAATTTAGTTGCAGCCCTAAATTAACTTTTCTCATCATTCCCTCTGACCTCCTGTGTTACAGGACGTTGATCTATCTAGAAACATGCCAGGAAAAGTTAAAGTGTCTGCTCCCAACCTGCTGGCTGCCAAGAAGAAATGAACAGGTGAATACAGACATGGCTCTACCTTTCAAACATGAGGGTTACAGTCGACCATCAGTACAGTGGCCCTGTTACAGATAATATCATGTCAAAGATTTTTTTTTTGGACCAACAATTTGTTGTATGAAATAGTATAAATTACAAAAACTGAGTAACAGACCACAATTAAAGTTTGTGTTTATTCTTTGAGGTACAACAGTGTATTCTACAAAAAAAAAAAAAAAGTGTGCAAACCAGGCACATATAAACAAAGCCCTACTGACATGAAGCATTTTAGTGCAACGTGGCTCAACATCCATCCAGTACACGAAGTATTTTAAGTTATTGATTCAGTAAAATTCCAATGCTACAGGAGCAAGGCAGAACAATTTGCAAGCTTTAAAAACCTCTTTCCAAACCTATGGATTTCCTCCAAAAAATTATAAATAACTGTATATACAAACAAAAACTCAAAGTTAACATTTGTGTGGCTTCGGAGTAGATAGTTTTGCGTGATATACAGCACTATTTTTATTTAGGTCTGTGATCACACCAAAGTCATTCATAGTTATCATTAAAGCAATAGGCTTCCTGAAAAAATCTGCACTGCTGTATTTCCTGTTAAGACATTAAGTTGGTTTCTAAGAAAGACCAATGAAATTACCAAATAAACATCTGATTGGCACTTGTGCTAGAACGACCTCCCTTGGCTCGAGGCTATACCAACACAGTAATCTTCAGGAGGAAACTGAAGTCCTGCTATCTTTCCCACTAGCCTGAATAACACAGCGCCTTTCCTCAGACTGTTTCTTTCAGTGGTCTTCAGGAACATCTAAAAAGACAAGAATAGGGTTTCTGTCCATAATTTAAGGTAAATTTACTATGACAGTGGCTAGCACAGAATGCCAAATTTTAACATTAAACACCAACACCTCCTTAGTAGAAGCCCTGTCACTGTAACAGTAACAGACTGTAGTTGATGAATTCTGAGAAAAATAAGTTCTTGGTAAAGTCGTCTTCATTACTACAATAGTAAGACCTGGTAACCATGCTGTCACTTCAGCTCTTCAAATTATGTTAAGCACAAAGAAAACCTAAAACCGGACGAAAGCAAACCCCAAAGTAGTGCAGGACTTCTGCTTTCTCTCAATTAAAAATAAAACAAACAAAACTGAGGTTCACCTGTGAATCTCAGTACCATAGTCAGAACACATTTCCAGCAAATCCACAGCTGTTTACTATTGCTTTAAGGTTGTTTTTTTTTTATCTGTATGCATAAACATTACACACATTAAGGGATAAGGCCAGACATTTTCTATATTAACAGTATTTTAATCACTCCTCATGTAGAGACTAAAACCAATATCCGTCAGAACTGGATTATCTTGTTCGTTTGTGCCATTGACCGCCACTCAAAAGCAATTTAAAACACATCAGGGAAACACCACTGAAAACACCAGACCCTAAATTCTTTTTAAACTTTACACAAAGGCTCTGAACAGCCACCAGGTTTTACAGCATCTGAAGGAAGCTAGGGTCAAGGGCTAAGCACAACATCTCTGGATATTCTTAAACATTAGGAAATATGTCACTATGTGCAGTGGTGTGTTTTTGAACATTATTATGGGTATGGCACAGATGAATAAGCTAATCCAGTTGTGACAGACATTAATTATCAGTAGAGGCAAATCACTGTTGGTTTTAGTCTTTGTATGGGACGTGCTGAAAATACTGCCGATATAGAAAATGACAAGTCTTATCCTTTAAACTAATGCTCTAAAAAGGACCATCTGTTTTGAGAGAAACTCATATCAGCCATACATACATACATACATACATATTGTCCTGTGCTCTTTGCCTAGGAGCCCAGTGTGTTGACATGTGCCATTCTCTGCTTGAGGCTGTGCAGGAGGTGTTTAGGTAGACAGTCCCAGTAATTGGACAAACGGTCCCTGTGCTGCAGAACGGTCTCCATACAGAACCTGGAGAGTGGGGACAGGTGCACCTGAGCAATAACAATGAAAAGAAAACATGCAGGTGTAAAATAAGTGCACGTTTGCTTCGGTACACACTCACCGAACCAGTGATTTGGGCTGAACGTTGAAAACCAGTAACTCATTGCTGTGAGCCTGTCAAGGAGGGAAAAAAAAGTCAAATTCAGTAGAAAAGATTTTATTGTATTTTAGTGAAAAAAGTGTTATATAACAAATAAGACTTGAAGCTTACAGCTCTGTGTTGAGACAGCAGGTTGTTGGCACACCCTCCAAACACAAACACCTCCCCATCAGGACCAGAGCATGCTGTGTGCCACAGCCTGAAAAACACAAGCACAATGACAAGTACACTCTACATACAGTATGCTTGTTAAGCAGTCTCACAAACACACCACCAAACAAGTGGTCGCTCTCCAGAGTCATTTAGCTGAAGCTTAGTCTATAAACACCAGCAAGTGATGAGAGAATGTACCTGGGGCTCTCGGTGTGGCTGTGTTTGAACGGCTTCCATTCATTTTTACTCACACAGTACAGCCAAGCATCACCTGAAAAACAGATTAAATTATCGCTGTGACACCAAAGATCATTTTGAGGTGGCTATGATCAGTTGCTGCTCAAGGAAAAGCACCAGACTCACTCAGTGTCTCTCTGTCTGTGGTGAAACCTCCGAATAGGAAGATATGGTCTGGCGACACAGGAGTGAAGGAGTGCCAAGAGCGGCCCACAGGGCCCTGCTGGAGAACGCTCCTACAGCAAGGGGGACAGGTGTCAGTAGGGAATAGAGCAGGAAAAAGTCATTTCAGAGAATGCTCAAAAAGGTAAAAGAGGGGTGGGCATGTTCAAATGCAAAACATGCAAGATATGTGCCCTGGTATTAAGATGGGTTGAACTGTTACCTTCCCAGATTATTCCATGGTAAGACTTGTAAATGAAAAGAACACTTACATTTCGTGCCACTCCCATGTGTCCAGGTCAATGTAGTACATGTCATTTAGTCTGTAGTTCTATGGAACATACAATATGGAGATGGAAGTTGGACTTAAACAGGACAGAAATTATTCATTTTATAATAGGTAAATGTACGACTACATTTGTTACCTGGTAGAGAATAGCATCTCAACAACAGAAGTTCAAAACAAACAGGTTAAATACACCCACAACTTGAACTATTTAAATTTTTCCTTACCTTGTATCGTCCCCCAAACACATAGCCTCTGTTACCAACTGTGGCACAGGCATGGGCTGCTCTCGGTGATGGGGTGTTCCCCTATATCAGGCCACAACAACAGATAGAAAATGGATGTCATCACATTTTTCCTCTTCTACTGTTCAAGAGTAAGATGTTTCTAAAGCATTTTGACTCAGTGTGTGCATAATTAAATTTTGAGGCGACACTGGCATGTGTCCATCTGTTTACCGTGGTGATGGGCTGGCTCCATGTCGACGTATCCAGGTCTAGGATATGGATGTGATTGTTCCAGCCTCGGCCAGGGCTGTTCCACTGCAGCAGCAACAACCAACACAAGGGGATTTACTTCTTTGTATAACTTGGTGTACTTTTTTGTTTGAATCAGAATTTAGAAATATACACCAAAAGGGTGTGTGATGATACATTTAGCTCATAAGACGAGATGATATTTTAACACTTTTTTTTAAAACTAATCATGTAATGAATGTCACTTCAGTTCAACTTTGAGTATGAATTATATGCAGAAACAGACAATATGCCGGACTGTCTTCTGACTACACAAGATCTCATCACACCCCTAAATACCAATAAAACTATAAAATACTTGTACTGTTTATCACGTGAAGAGGATTTTTGTTTACAGACCACAAGAGAAGATGATTCATCATATTTAAAAGTCCCTCTATGAGGTCCCTGTGGAGCATAGCCATATCCCCCAAAGAATACAAGTCTGGGAAGAGAGAATATCAGACAATCACTTCAAATATCTTTCCTGAGAATCTGTACTGTACTGGTAAGCATTTATTATTGTGTGTAAACCACCCAAATTATAATAAACATGATCATGTGGCTGACTATTACCATATTACACATACAGTATATTCAAATATACAGTCATTCAACAGAGAGAAATGGTTTCAGTTTATTTATGACAGTGTCAAAAAGACATTTCGCTGTTGTGTCTGAAGGCCATCCCACAGAATTCTTTTTAGAGGCAGTACACTAATCCAGTTCTTATTCTATTCTAATTCTACTTTATTCTATTTTAGTTCCTAAATGTTATGGCACCCAACCAACTAGGTGAGAGAGAAACGGTATTTCGATTTTCTGCATGTCCTGCAGAATTCACATATGGTGAATTGACAATAAAATCCTTGAACCATGTATATAAAGAAATACTCATGCAAAAGTTTAGGCACCCCTTGATAAATAAGAGATTTTGGTGATTTTTTATTTGAACAGATGTTAACACAGTTTCTCTTGGAAATGGAAAAAATGCACAATATTTTCAGCAAACAGTGATGCATAGTTACTTCTTATGCCATAAATTGAACAAAAATAAAAAAGAGCAGCCCAGGGTGTAAGCTGGGGCAGAGGGGTCAGACAGGGGGACAGGAGACAGCAGGGCAGGACGATCCACAGGGGCAACATGCCCTCTAAAACAAACCATCAGTTACATTTTTTCACTCAGAACATCGTTTGTTTGTCTGTCCTTCCTCTCTCCCCTGCGTCTGCCTGCACTCCCCAGCAAAGTATATGTATATATAAGTGTTTTTGTCCTCTCCCACCTTTCCTTCCTCTCTTTCTGTGTGTTTTTTCTCATCGTTTGTGTCCATAAACATACTATATACTCCCTGTCATATATCCTCTTACTCACACTCTCTCTCTGCCCTTTCTGGCTCGCTGTCTTTCTCATCATAAACCTCCTCCATCTCTGGCCACTCATCTTTTCAGGAAGGTAAACGTCAGGTTGTATGTTCAAGGTTTTGAACGTAATCTTTGATCATAAATAATTTCATTAGAATGCTGATGGTTTAGGTCCTGTTTGAGTAGATGTGATGGGTTAGGCCATCTGCTCAGCTGATAAGAACAGCTCTGTATTATTAGCATCTCCACCGAAGCCTCGGCTGTCTTGTTTACCTAGGCATTCCCAAGGCGAATTTCATTCCTACTGCACATTTAAACTCTATTTACACACTCAGACTCTCTCTCCTCTTTACCACTGTCTCGCCTAATTGTTTGTCTGCTTCTCTCTGTTTCTCTCTGTAACTTAATTTTTCTTCTGGCTTCCACAGCACTACCTCACTGTTGTGGCTGGTGGGTTTTTTTTTTTTTTCCTTTTTTTTTTTTAAAAAAAAAATTAAAAAAAAAAAAAAAAAAAAAAAAAAAAAATTTTCAAAAAAAAAAAAAAAAAAATCACCAAAATCTGTTATTTATCAAGGGGTGCCTAAACTTTTGCATGAGTATTTCTTTAAATACGACCGACTTAAAAACAATATTCCTGTCTTTACTGTTATAATTACCCATGTAGAAAAGTGTGCAACATTTTGTTTTTGAGGCTTCCTACTAGGGAACTGGGAGAACAGCCTGAAGAAATGAATGCGCATGCTACCACTTTCCCCAGCATATTTGTGATTTTAAATTTACAATGTGAGTATTTGGATAGCACAGCAACACTTAATAAACATTCAAATTCAGGAGGAAAAGAAAAAAATAAAAATTAAAAAAAAAAACAGCCACCTCTGACCTGTTCTTGTGAACCCAGCACCCTAACTTGTCCTTGCAGGATGGAGGAAGTCCTTTGAGATTCTTCATTTCCTCCCAAACAAGCCTAGGAGCACTGAGTGGAAGGCGGTAGATCTGTAAAGCACCACACAGAAAACAAGAGCTCTGAAAGCTGATCACCTTAAACAGGAAACAGACATACTTCAAGGGCTGATGTTCACACATGGTGCAATCCTTTTAAATAGCAGATGATTGGAAATTTACTTAATGCAGTATGCTGTACTGTACCTTGTCTGTGTTTCCCCTGGCATGATGACCTCCAAATAGGTAAAGAACTCCATCAACACACACCCCACAGCTGCCCGACATGGATGTGTGCAGGTTACCTCCAGCTGTATGTTTTGTCCTGTGAAAACGCTGTGTTATTCATCTACTTTGTGTGTTTGAAAAAAAAAGTGCCCATGACAATGGTATAAATATACAACTGTGATGTTACAGCTATTACCATACTCCTGACTCCATGTTGTAGGTCCAGATCTCATTTCTCGGCAGATACAAGTCAAAGAATCCGTGGTTTTGAGCATTCTTGTATAGGTGGGGAATAAAATATAATAAATGTGAGGACTGTGGGGAAAAACACACAAAACAATGTAATAAAAATAGTTTTAGGACATATACTTACCCTGTATCCACCCCACACATACATGAGGTTTCTATGAACCACAGCTATATGCCCACTGCGCTCTGCTGGAATATCCAACTCAAATAATTCCTCCACCTCCTCTTCTTCTTCTTCTTCATCCACATCATTCACCATCCAAGCAAACAATCTGTCGTCTTCATCTCTGTCCGAGTCATTGTCATCTTCTCTGGCTGGCAAATCCCCAACGTCTTCCTCCATCTCTGCCATGTCACTATCTTTTGTCTCCTGTCAGGGCTAGAAGACAGAAAGCAAAATCATCTTGGTTAGTGCTGATAGGATTACTCGATTAGCTGATTAATCTAAAAAATAAAAGTACAAGTAGAACAGAAAACAACCTATATTCAAAGCAAGTGATGTCAGGAAATGACAATAGCTTTTTGCGAAATATAAGATAACAGGACACAGAAATATCGGCCTATTCTGGCTGTGCAAAGTACTGAGCAGTTTGTATCCATTAGCTGGCACCATTGTTACAGCTGGCGTACTTTGCTGAAATAAATAATTAGGTTACTAGCTAAATCAGCGTCAGCTGCTAACTTAGCGTTTTCATCAGCAATAAACAAAAATACAACCCCGCACATTAACTGATATACGTGTTTAAAATGCGCCAACTTACTTGCCTGTTCACCAAGCTAGTGACCACCTATCAGCTGTTCGTCAGGTAATGTTAATTACCCAGAATGTTCCAGAACTGTTGTAAAAGTACAATTGCAACTGGGAGAGAAAAGCATTATAAAATCAAGCTAAATACAACATAGGTTGAAATGTGTTTGTACCTGTCGTTACATACCCTTGGCAGATTCTTGTTTTGCAAATTTCAGAAATGCGCCATTTATGAGAGGTCGTTACAAGCAGTCTGGGCACGACCGGAAGCTGCCGACCTCTTAAATCCGCCATTTTGCTAAGGTCATCGTAGACTAGAACAGAAACCGTAGTAATGCTCAGTACCAACACTTTTGTGTGGATGCTGAGTCAGTAGCATCTATTCAACTTGTTTTATTAAATTTTATACTTTTGTCAGCATTTTTTTTATAATAAAAGAATCTTAAAATCTTTCTCCTCTTTCAGCCTTAATCACTCCAGCATACTTTCAGCTAGAAAAAACATTCAGCCTTTAAACAAACTTGTCGACCACTAATGTAAAACATTTAGGTAGATAGGAGGGACTATATTGATCCCACAGTGGGGAAATTCCTGTGTTCCAGCAGTAGTCACTGCTATTGGTTAGTGTGACAACTTTGTGTTTAGTCATAATCCGGACACAGACAGACAGCAACAGAGTAACACACATACACAAAATAACAAACGCCCAAACATATACAGTCAAAGCAATACGGTGTCACACAGTAACACACATAAAGGTACAGTAGCACAGTGAGACACTCATACACATGGGTTGGTTTGCCTTCAAAATATATCTGTCAGATGTCAGTAAAAATTATGTATTCTTTTAGAACTTTAAGCCATTTAATTTCTATCTCTCACTTTGGGATTAAGCCTTCCACTGTTTTAGGAATGCTCTCAAGTTCTCACCTTCTTCAGATAATGAAGTTAAATTCCCAACTTCAAGTTTTTCACTTCATCTTCCTTAATTATTCAGCATTGCATCTCAGCCTTCAGCTATTTCAGCAATGGATTTCATCCATTTCAGCATTTTCAGGGCCATTCTTCAGCAATCAGCATCCATATGCATTTGCTTGTCTTCAAGACTGCTCAGTGCTGATTACTGTGCAAAAACATCAGTGCTCACTACAAAGAATAAAACCTTTATTATTCATGGCAGAACATAAAAACAAATATACAAAATGAAACACTACAGTAGGTTATTCACTAGTCAATTTAAACATACAGTATCATATACAGGCAATGTACAAAACAAATGAAAACAGATCTACTTGTAAACCCATTCTCTTTAGAGTCCCTGAAGTTTGCTGTGAAGTTACAAGAACACACAACAGATTAGTTAATGATTGTTTAAAAACTGTTATCAGTAACAAATGACCTGTAAAGAAATAATTAAAAACACTTCCCACCTGTCCTCAACAGTTCTGTTGGATGGGTAGTACACCTTAAATGTGAAGCCACTTCTTGGGAATGAGCCCTGTCATTTTAAATGACAAAATACTTTAGTGATGAATAACACAAGTTCATATTGGAGCTATAACAGCACAAAGATACAAGTTAAATGTAATTAAATCAGATAATTACCAGTTGGAAAAGCACATTTTATCAAGTTCTGCCCAAAAAATTGAATGCTTCATTTAAAATAATTTCGTTTCATACCGGGTTGACACAGAGGCAGTCTGTGTTGGTGATGCTGAAAGGGTCATATTTGTCTGCGAAGACAATGACATCAGGGACTGGGTAGACATGCAGGGAGTAGTCATATGCCCAGTATACAGGACTGACATACAGAGGCAGTGGAGTCAAGTGACCCTGAGATAAGATGGTCTTAACAAACTGGGGGAAAGAGGAAAATAAGACCAGTGTTTATTTACAAAAATAAGCATGCCACATTGTGTTTTCTCAGAAATCTGCTCAACTTGGGTAGAGTTTACAGCTGAGGATTGATTAGTTCACTAACATCTTTTCAGCAACCCATTGCTTGAAGAGCATTTAGAAAGAATGGCTCACACTTAAGTACAATGGCAAATAAAACCCCTGAGAACAAAGCTAATAATACCATATGTGTATACAGAAAGAGAGGAGAGGAATGTCAGCTTTGTTTGGAAAAACTGCAACTCACATGGTTTGGAATGTCAAGATTGCTATTGGGCAAACGCACACAGTTCCTGCACATCTTGTTGACAAGGTCTTCCCTAATAACGATGATCTCCTGGCTGCAGTACTGGATCCTGACAGGAAAAACATCACAGTGAAGCTCAGTTTTACTGTCATGAGCCTGGTCACAATTTATCCTAAGCTTTTCAAATTAAAACTAGTGTCTTTGACTTGTCAAGTCACTTGCTCTAAAATTTGATCAACCAACATAATAAGTATGTTAACATTAAATAAAATCCACATATTTGTACCTGCACGGGTTAGTTGTGAACACAGAAAAAGGTACCCTCTGCCTGAACTCGTCAGTGATGTGATCTGCCAAAGGAGGCCTGAGGGAAACATACTGTATTTATTTCCATTTGTCCAAACCACCGAGCCAAACTCACATAAGGATTTTAATGTCTCTAAATGTTTACCTTGGGAGGATCATGCCTGGACCAGGATCTTCAGGTCCAGGGACAAATACAAAGCGACTACTGCATGTTTAGGATGAAGAAATTTAAGTTAAACACATTAAAACCTAAATAGTTAATAATAGAACAGAGGAGATCAGAGTAACCTATCTAATCCTACCTGCTGTGAATGCTGGGGTGTGCACATATGGCATCAGCGAGCGCTTTCAATGACTCTAAGAAACAAAAATTATGAATTGAAGGCATTTTTATAGCTTAATTATTCCTCTTAATGTGCAAAAAGAACTCAAGAAGTGCAGTGCAGTAATTTTTAAGGACTTTACCTTTCAGGGACTTGATCTGTGTTTTTCCATACGGGGCAGAAGAGAAGTTTCCACACAAGATGAAACAGGTTGGAGGCAATGCAGCATAACCTGTAAGAAAAAATCGTGATGTCCAGTTTCACCAGAGTCGCATGAGGTGTATATTTTGACTAGTATTTAGCAAACAGAAGGAAGCAAATATTTAACACACACCAGTAACACATTTTATTACTGGTATTGACATAAAATTACAATTGGCCAATACCTGACCTGAGAACATGATGTTGAGCTTGTCCATCACATCAACACTGTCCAGCCACACATCAGAAACAATTACAAACATGGCATCTTCATTCTCTTCTTCCAGCTGCTTCAGCTTGGATGAAGCCTTCACCGAAGTAGTGGATGGACCACCAAAGAAGTTCACGTTGCCGTAGTATGCTCTGGACATAATACCAGGATCACACAGTGAGGCAACAGAAACACTAGCAGGTAGCATGCATATATACAGCAAATTTCCTTTATGCTACCCAGTCACTAATATTTCCATTGCATACCAACAAGGTAAAACAACTTCACAGACAGCATGTGAAAAGCTACATAAGTAATCCACACTTTGCCCCACTACCTAATGTCAGCTTACACGTATCGCTATATCGAGTAGTCACAGCCTGCAAAAAAGATTTTTCTGAACACTTTTCTTCCAATGCACGAACCTTGTTGCTGACGAAGGCTCTGTTGGTGGGAACCCAAAGCCGTTGACGTGGAGCACTGACTCCTCGTACCAACCTACATGACAAATGACTTTACTTCGACAACATAAATATATATGCTTATGAATATGAGTGCCTAATATTTATTATTTAACTACTACCTAACATATTTAATGACACTGGTAGCAGTTATATTAATCATACCCTCTGCAAGTACAAAGCAGGATTCTGTATACAGGCCATTATGAAACTGGTGAGAATGCAGTTAAGAAAAATGTCCATTTTAAAATCCACAAATAAATGCACAATAGAAAGTTATTTTTGTTGGAATGCACCAGTGAACCGATTAAAAGGATATTGCTTTGGACATGTCCAGTTGAACTGTTCCACTTGGGTCCTCCAGGTAATATTTACCCTTAAAAATATATAGAAATGTTTAAGGAACGAAAGAGGAAGGCCTCAAACTGACGTAGATAAAAAGTTATCTGCAAGACTAACTCACCTCTTTCAGCTGTGTGATCATCCCAAGGACAATCACTTCTCCTAGTTTAGCTGTGCTGCCAAGCAGTGCTTCAATTGTCTTCAGCTAAAAAAGACAAATCACAGCAAAACAATCTGTCATATTGCAAAACAGTAAAAGGCGTTTCATTTGTATCCCCCAGCTATTAAATTAGCTCAGCACTGATAATGATGATGATTAAGATTTGATACCTGAAATTTGTTTTGACCCTCTTCAACAGCAGTTCCTATTGCAGGTGGAGTGAAGAGCTCATGACGATGTGTACGCTACAAAAAATATGTCTGTATAAATACAAACATGAAAGCTGCACATACTCTAAATAGTACCAAATGAGAGAGAAAGCTGCAAAATACGGTCGTTTAACCACGAGACAGCTCACTGACCTGCTGCAAGATTGTGTAGCGCTCCTTGAACAGTTCAGTTTTGTCCTTGGCCAGACCACACAGGCTGGGGACTGGATGCCTGGTCATACTGATGCTGAATTAAAAAGCCAAAATAAAACATTTTGAACTTTGCCTGCAAGCAACAGCATAACACAAGGTCTGCAGTATATGTAAGCATATGTGGTGAAATAAGTTTGGTTACTTAACACAAAGGGGAACCACTCTGTTTACTCACGGTACAAACTTCTTCCGCTCCACATTGTAAATGTATCTGGGCACATCAAAGGCTCCAATGATGTTGAAAACATTATCTCTGGAAGACAGTTAAACAGTTCATATAAATAAGACTTTGTCTGTATCACAATAAAACTGATTATACAACTAAGGCTTATTGTAAACAGATTGAATTTGAAGGACTTCTTGTCCAAGTGTTCTCTTATCTACACTTTTCCCATCTGTTCTCATGTCAATAAGTCACATAAAGGGCTAATTTCTAGAGATGTATTTTAAAAAGCCCAGCAGATAATAGTACATGGCACACTTATATTTTACTACATAACTTGCATCAGGATAAAATGCTGAAAATACCTATTCACACTCATGAGAGGGGTGTACTTTAAAATTAAGACTGCCAGGAAATGAATCTACTTAAATTATGAAACACTGCAACCAATCAATTTATCCTTTATTAGTACAATTATTATATGTTTTGGTGGAATAGAATAAGACAGAACACAACATTACTGTCCACAGAAGTGGAATATAGTCTTTAACCCATTTGGAAGTTTAATAAAACATACAGAGAGTGTGACAGGATGAATATTGTTAGTGAGAAAATACAAAGTACAAAATTTAACAAATTATTTTATGGAAAAAAAAAATCTAAGCCAAAATGATGATCAGGTAACCAAAAAACACTAGCAGAGTGGTTTCAGCGTGTTCCCATATAAGTGCAGGACATCCACTACTGAATAAAAGTTAAAATAAATAAATAAAATAAAAAAAGCTTTATAGGATTCTTACTTACATGGCTTCATCACAAGACTGAGTGCAGTCCTGCACAGCACTTTCCACCACAGACTGCTCGATCATATTAGAGGACACTGTTGGAAAATGCACATTATGCTCAAAATCTAAAAGACTCTCCAGTCAAAAACAGAAACATGTTAAGTGTTGCATATAGCAGACTGTGCATTAAACACACTGCACTCTGTAAAGACTGACTGTATTGTACTTACATGGCTGCTTTTCCACTGCATCCAGGACCCTTTCAATAACATCATCCAGTTCAGAGGGACTGACTGAGTCCAGCACCTCCACTAGGTACCTGCTGGCTTCACTGGTGCACAAAACAGTAGGAAAACATGCATACTGTATGTTGTTATTGTTTTTCCTTTAGTTTGTCAGAATAAAAAACATTTTCTTAAGAAAACATATGATGTGTGTGCTTGCTCTCATTAATAAATGTAAACAAATTTCATTTACCTAATATTATTTATATTTATTTAATGTCTTCATTTTATTGCTTCTGAAGCAATGCTACTATTTATTTTATTTTTTTTACTTGTCAGATGTCAGCACAAAGGGAGCTGATGTATCAGATGTTTGCCACTGATATTGATGGGAGTTAACTAAGTACATTTATTCAAGTAAAGTAGTTTATTATAGACAAACTATCCAGCAATATATTGTATAAAGTAGGCTAGTTTAAACTAACCCCACGCTTACCAGCTATAACATTAAAGTGACATACGTATCAAAAATTATAATCCAGTAACATAATATTTATTATTGTGAAATGGGCCATTCTTCAGGATGCCATGGTAGCCTACTAAAGTTTGGTACTTTAAATATGTTTTGATGCTAATAATTTTACTAAGTACATTTTTTTGAATGGATGCCGTTGACCTTATAGAGTATTTTAAAGTATTGCTACTTTTTCTTCCACCACGGATCACGGCAGTCAGCTGGAGTGGGAGTAAAAGCGGCTGAATCCTAATGAATAACGTTATGAGATGAAGGGAACTGACCTCTAAACGTTCTAAGCAATTAAAATATAAGGGTTCCTTGTTGTCTTCACTGGGGGAAAACTATGACAGCATGACATTCTACACAAAACCACTCTCTACATATGCTATAGTTGTTTATTTCTTTTTTGCTACGATTATACATTAAGCAGAATATATCGATAATATCCAGTATTTCGCTTCCGTTTACACTGAAGTTAACCCATGTTGTGTTGATACGCTTAGCAGTAGCTGTTGCTTTGGCAAAAAACACATTCTGATATAACGGTTTGCAATTATTAAAATACATACGGTCGCAGTATAAGTCCTCGCATCTTAAAACCAGCGGACACCTTTGCCTTTATATTACGAGCACCATCCATGATTGTTTCTGTCTCTCTGTCGACTCAAGCCTTGGCGGGAATTTAGCATTAACTTCCGCATGTATTTCATCACTTCCGCATGTACATCATCACGTCGCTAATCTAACAAAAGTAAACAAACGGAAGTTGTATTTTATTTTGAAGTACCGTTGACATCGCGAAGTCGTTTGTGCTGAACAAGGTGATTGATGGATGAGGAAAAAAAAAATATAAGACCGACTAAAGGTGTCCCGTAGCCTGTGAGTATGTCTTATTTTAGGCCCCGAATAACCTAATGCAACCTTACGTATAGGTACAAACTGCAAATAATGTGAAACCATATAATTTACTGGTGACAAAAACATGTTTGTTTGTGTTACGGTTGGACTTACAGCTTTACTTCCCTTACTGTAACAGTCAAACTGCAGTCGAGCATGTAAATGCCATTTTTAGACAGATTTTTTAAAATCATTTTAGTCTCAAATACCTCTTTCCTTTACCTTTATAAATATAGCAGTCAGTCATGGATTCCGCATTTGAGAGGTACTCCTCGGAGCTGGTAGCCCGGGAGAGGAGCGGACACACGGCCGTGCTGGAGGAAAACATGTTGTATGTGTGGGGAGGTTACATGGTGAGAAAAACAAACAAATAAACATAGACAGCTTACACACATATGTTGTGGGGGGTAAAGAGGTACATTTACCTAAGTAGTGTAATAAACTAATGTTAAGGTATGTTGTGTATTTACATTTTATGCCACATTATATTAAATATTTGGCCTACACCACTACATTCATTCAACAGCAGTTGTTTACTTTTTAGATTTAAATATTTCTTAAGAAACATGTGAATATGACTCGTGGTTGCAGATAATATGCCTGTGTTATCTGGGGTAATTTATAAATCAATGTGTCTAGAAAATATTTAGTCAAAATAAATCTATAATCTACACCTGCTTAATAAACAGTCCAAAATCCAGAGATATTCAGTTTAGCTACTATCTTGTAAAACACAGAAACGCAGCAAATTCTCACATTTGAGATTATTGAACTTGTTGTAGAATCATGTTGATCAATGGATTGATTGACTTATCCACGCTACATTATTGTTGCTTATATGTTAGTGCTGAATTAATAACGATACAATATTAACCAATAATATAAGCATCATTAATTAATAGCATCATTTTCTGAAATGGGCCATTTTGCTTAACAAATACTTTCATACTTTAAGTATAATCTGCAGGTAATAGTAAGGTATGACTGCAGGAGTCATGGGTTGTTTTTACAATGCTACATTTCTACATATTTTGCTCATGCATCATTACAGTTCATAGAGTACAAACATACATGGCTACCCTGAAAAAATGAAGGACAAATATGGAAACCCACTTCAAATGTTTGGGGATATTTTCTGAATTTAACTTGCATCATTTTGCATTGGATATAATTGTTTTATTTCACATACACTCGCCGACCACTTTAATAGTCACACCTGTACAAGTGTATGCAATTCAGTGCAAAACATCCACCTTAACATCTGTGTTTATGAAGCTCAAAATGTTTCGGTTTTTAGTGAAATTGTCATAAATGTATAAATTCAATTAAATGTTTCTTACTGAGGCCGTAGATTAAAGGTGGTGTTGTACTGGACTACATTATATTTAGAGGTGTTCCTAATATTCTGACCCTCTCATCTATGTAGCTGTGGAGGACAAAAATATTAGAGACACTTCACAAGACATACAGTATTTCTGCTGTACACATTCCTGTCAGGATAACAGACACATTTTATTCTCTACAGTCAGTTGCTGATGATGAAGTTTTCCTTCCTAATGATGAAATCTGGGTATACGACATACAACGAGGTGTATGGTAAATAAACTTTAAATATGTCTATTTGTGGTCACAACATAAAATAGTAATGCACGATTACCCATAATGCTCAGTTTGTCTTTTCTCTGTCTGATAATTGTCATACAGTCATTTAACAATTACTTTGTAGTGACAAGTGGAGCTTTGTGTTGTCTTGCTGTTGTTGTAAAGTGTGTCATGATGATGTAGGTGAATGTAGGTAGTTTATCCAGATTTTGTTTTTCTTTTTTTTGAAGGGAAGTGTTTCACATGACAGGGGAAGTCCCTCCCTCCATGTCAGGGACCTGCGGCTGTTCCCTGAATGGTCACATGTACATATTTGGAGGTTGCGATGACAATGGACAGACCAATCAGGCAAGCCTGATAACTGATGCTTCACAGCTCATGACACAACTATGGTTTACGTCACAGAAACTACACTGTTTTTGAATTTATTTAATGGATCTTGTGATTTTAACACTGTTAGGATGTGAGCACACTAGTCTATTACTGAATCAACTTAAATTTGATGAGTTTTTGCTGTTTATAAAATACCTCCTTAGATGCTGATAATTGTCAAACACTAGCAGCAGTTACAAAAAAGTTTAACATTTGCAAATTTTTTCCCGCCATCAGTGCTGCTAGAAGCAGATGCATCGGCAGTCACGTACAAAAGATTAACATTCCTCACTGAAAACAGTTAACAAATATGAATGAATAAACACAGTGCATCAGTGTGTACAAAGGTCAAAGCTTATACAGAACCAAGTTGACATGAAGTGATCGGTGTTTGACTTCAAACAGATCTATTGTGTCGACCTGACAGATGCTAAATACATGTGGAGCAAGATCATACATGAGATCGGTGCTGCTCCCTCACCTCGGGACAAGTTGTCCTGCTGGGTTTATAATGGAAGGTAAGCATTATGAAGATGTAAAAATTTACTGATTATTGCAGTTTTTTCACTTCATGGTTACTGGTCGAGTGTTGGGTACTGTTTTTAATTTATTTTTACTTGAATAGATATTGTTTTCAAGTTTTGGTTTATTATCAAAACATATGGTATATTCTGCATTCTGTTGGCACTTTCCTTGTATTCTATTATTTGAAGTCCCAATGACTGAACATCCAAATTTAAAGGTATTTCCTTCCTTTCATCCTTCATTCTATCCCATCAGAGATCCACCTACAAACAAAAACACAACCTATCTCGAGCTCCTACATGCATTATTCTTAACATCTCATGTATAGTATGTCTGATTATATGGTGAAATAGAAATAAGAACCCATTGTGTGGGATTGTGATCCATGACAAACTAAATCCATAATCTACACTAGCATATAGTAATTGTGATCATCTTTGGTTGATGTTCTCCAGGATCATTTACTTTGGAGGATACGGTCACAAACTGCTGACTGACGTTGACAGCAGGAACCGAAGTTTCATTGTAGATGAAGCATCATGGGTAATGGTTTACTAAGCTGACCCACAGTAAGAGTCTGTCAAGAAAATATTCCAGCATAGGCCTGAACTTTTGTGAGACTTTGTTTTTAAAAAAGTGTCAGGCCAGCATGTAGGACATCTGGTCACACAGTTGTTTAATTGCTCTCTAGATATATCAGAGCCATTTTGTGTTTAAACAAACTGTAGAAATCAGTTTCCCCTCTATAGCAGTTTTGTTGTTTTAGGTGGAAGATGTCTTCTGGGGATGGAATAGTGAGGTTCATATATTTGACCCCATGGAAGCCAGTTGGAACGAACCACAAACTCACGTAAGTTAGTTTAACACCTGTATATGATACAGATATTCAATGACATTTATTTATGATACAAGGGAGTGAACAGTATTGAAAACGTGTAAAGAAGGTTTTACAGTTGCAGTTTTTGTGTGCAGGGACGTGCCCCGGCTCCCAGGGCTGCGCATGCCAGCGCCACAGTTGGGTGTAGGGGATATATCTGTGGAGGCAGAGTCATGGTGAGAGCTCCACATGCTTGTCAGCTCCACTCGGCTTACAGTCATTAGTAGAACCAAACCACATATCCAAATCTGCAATGAGTAATTTCTCCTCCTTTTTAAAAAATGCAGGAAACAAGGACAAATGACATTCACTGCCTGGATCTTGAATCGTGGACATGGTCAGAAATGTATGTTTTCATCCTGTATTGTGCTTCCATCCTGTATTTTAGGCTTTTGTTTTTACATAACAGAACAGTGAGGAGAGACTGAAAACATTTATTTATAATAAACCATTATTAATATTTAAAGTGGTATTGTGTTTTTGCCAGGTGTGTCTTTGACAGTATTGTGCGAAATATGGTTTTCAGAATCCCGGTGTCCACCACTCCAGTGGGCAGATCGTGGCATACGCTTACAACAGTCTCAGACAGCACCTTGTTCCTGTTTGGCGGTCTCAGTGTAGACTGCAAACCAATGAGTAAGAAACTGCACTCACTTGATTACATTTGTTTCTTCCCTTCCAATGATCTTTTCATGTTTCTTAATATTACATTTATGTTAATATTCTTTTCACTAAAAAGCAAATTCCATATTCTCCAACAGGTGATGGGTGGGTGCTTGATGTTGAAACAAAGAATTGGAGAGAAGTCGAGCATCCCTATAAGGATAAGCCAAGGTAGTAAAGTATCAGCACTTGTTAGGTGTTGTTCATTGATTAATGAACTCATAGATGTGTTTATTTTCCTGCTATCAGATGATAGGAGGGTCTTTTTGTGAGAGGATTTTAAAAACGCTTTTTTTCAAATGTCTCTCTCTTAAGGTTATGGCACACTGCATGTCCAGGCAAAGACTCTGATGTTATTGTGTTTGGTGGAAGTTGTGACTACATCCTCCTTGTTGACACTGTAAGTATCACAGATAGACATTATAGAAACTGGAAGTGTGAAATAATATCAAATATTTTAGACCAATGAAAAGGTTTTCCATCCATAAGCTGAGGTTACTCTGGTGAAAGGACAAGCCTTCAAATCGACAGTTTCAAAACAACAATTCACCAATTCTATAAGGAAAATAAACATTTTCCTGTGATAATTGTGCTCTAACAAGCCATGCTCAGTGGACATTTACAAATGTGGCATATTTCCTTTCAGGGGCACTGCAATGATGCACTTGTTTTCCAGATGCAGCCTTATCCTCTATCCAGGTAATTAAAAAAAAAGCTATATTTTATCAATCCACAAGAAATAATTTCATAAAAAGAAATCATTTTACAGACAGTCTTGCTTGTCAAACAGGTAAAATTAACATTTATTACCAATAGCTGCATTACTGTGCTCCTTCTGCTGGGGCAACGCGGTTACAGTCTTTGTAGAATTTACTACTTTCACTGTGTGATCATTTTCCCAAACGTGAAATGAGGAATGACTTTTCTCATAACAGGATTTGTGAGGATTACATTGCAAAGAATGTGAGGACCTATGAGATGCTCAGAAATCAGCTTTCTCTCCTGCCTTCCAAACTACTGACAGCAATCCAGAGGAGGATGTCGTTCTACAGGCCTTCAAAGAAACAAAAATATTAATTCAACAAATACCATATCATTGTTTTATTTATGTACTGTACTCCATCGGAAATGCTGTGGGCTAGCATTTTTTATTTTTAAAATAGCCAAAATATTTTATGGTGTTATATTTTGTTGTTTAACAAATTTTATTTTGTACAGTTTGTGCTCTAACAAACTGCTCCAGTTATAACTGTTCTGATTAAATGCACACTGAAAAAGTTTTGCTTGATTTGGAGCTAGTATAAGTCAACTAAGTCAGCACACATTTTTTCCAGAATATTCAAATGGTCATAAATCCAACATGGTCAAATCTTTATTTGCAATATAAAACAAAATTACAAAATTATTTTTCTACATTTCGGGTTGAAATACATCTTTTGTTAGTAACGAGTATGGTTTGCAGCCTAGTATTCACATGAATGTTCACATACATGCACTCCACCGCTCGGCTCCACCACTAGATGGCAGCAGAGCTTTATGTTTGAATTTGGCTCAAAGTTGGCATCAGCAGAAATGTAGCTGGGTCAAACGCAGCCCGACTGAAAGTATCTCTGTTGCCACACATTCCTTCTTCACAAGGGTGGAGAAGTATAGGAACTGTGGTTTGGAGGAATGCTTAAATAAACAATCCCAGCTCATACTTTGGCAGGGTTGCCCCAAAACTATAAGCCTATACAGCACTCTGTCTGCACAAAGCTGCTAGTAGAAATGTTTTTATTGCATATACCTGTAGCCACAGGGCTTTAAAAATGTGCCTTTGTTGCTGAAACAGCTTAGTTTGAGCAATGTCGGTATTCTCTCCTTCACATATTAACAGACAAGTTAAAGTAAGTAATAGGTAACAAATAAGCCCAGCAGCACTAAGGGGGAGACAGTGAGACCTCAACACTGCAGATAAAAAAAACCATGGAGGCCTTTGTGTTAACAGCTCTGGTCTGTGTCAGGAGAACCTCCTGGCATCTGCTCAAGCTGGTATTATAACATTACACGGTGTAGTAAGACTTGGGTAAAGGCCTGGAATGTAGGTGTTTATGCCAAACACAAGCCATGTTACATTTATCCAGGAAACACAGAAGTAGCCTTCTCATACTTGTCAATAAACCTTGATTCTTTCTTATGATTCTGAACAGAACACAAGGGTTAAAAATTTCTTCTGAAAACTGCTGAGTCTCAGGAAGGTGACAGGAAAGGACAGTATCTTTACTGGAGCATTTAGCTAGGGGGGTCAACTAAACTCTCTCTCAATAGTGTCCATCAGCTCCTCTTCTGATCCATCGTACAGGATGACTGGCATAGTAAGAGAGGAGCTATGGCAGCTGCCAAACCTCCTGGGTTGCCTGGGGAGAGTTTAGGAACATGTCAGCAACATGGTTAAAAAAGAATGATACCCCAGGTGTATTATGTTTGTGTAAAGCAGCCCATGAACACACCACATTATAAATTTAAAAGACCATAAGGTAGCATATTATTGTTAGAGTGAAGTACAGGCCATTGCTTTTAAATACGTTTTTGGCCTGTTTGCCTCCAAACAAAGCAACAGTGTGTATTTTGATCCCCTTAAGGTAGAATTGATCTGCCCCTGCTCGGTTTTTACTATTCCTCTGAGCTCAGAAATGCATTATTTATCAGAGCTGTCTACTTACGATTGTTTTTCTGATGTGGGTACAGCTTCCAACAAAGTCCCTCTTGACAAAAAGCTCTGTGAGGAGGAGTCAAATACGAGGAAAGAATGGATATCATGTTTTCAGTTCATCTCTTAACAACTGTCCAAGCTCATTATTGTTTTATGAAATCCTAATAATTTACATGGGTTAAACTCAGTTAAAACAGAAATCATGTTGTGAAATAGTAAAATAATACGTCCTTACATTGTGATGACTGGTGCACTCAGATGTGTGTGTTTTAAAGTGTGTGAAAGCATCGTTATTTCTCTTGTTTACATCTCCAGGTCCACTGCGTGAGCCACGTGGCTCCTCGGCTCTCTCTGGCTCTCTCAGCCGAGGAGTTGAAGGGACGTCCTCCTCAGTGTCCTCCCGGCTGAAATGACACAGTCCATATGTTTTGGATTTCATAATAGTCTTCATGGGAGCGGTTTTCTTCGCAGAAACCTTCTCCTTCTCATAATCTGCAAGAACGGTGTCCAGATCTCTATCAATACTGTCGCCTTCCCTCGAAAAGTCAGAGTCGTGTCCCTCGCCGTGGCGGTCGGGTGGCGCACGGTTGCGCGCGTTGCGTAAAATTGCATGGATTCTGAGGGGCTTGAATGGATGGCTGTCCTGTTTGGAAGCAGTCACCGTTGTTTTGGACATGTTCACCTCGCTGACACACGCAGGTGCAACTTTCTTCCCTCGGCTTGTACCGCTGCCCATGTCCGTCTGCTCGTCTCTTAAAAATCAAAATGCAAAGTTTATTTTCAAATGTCCCTTCAGGCGCAGCAGAGTTGAACATTAACCAGCAAAGACATCATCCTTGTCAGTGTTTAAGTTTAAATGTTTACTAGGGTTAAGGCTTTAAGACTGGTCTTTGGCTAAATAGAAGCCCGTTTTCCTAACACTGGACTCCTGGTGTGCAGACACACCGCTGAATTATTGGATATTCCATGTTCTCAGAACGGACTTAAGTCGAAGAGGCTGCCTGTAAACTTTGGAGTAGCTAGGCTACATCAGGATGAAAAGCAATGTATTCGTTACATAACACCAGTTTGGCTCAGGACCCTGGGGAGAAAACTCCGCCTTCTTATAGGGGGAAACACACACACTTGATGTTTTCATTATTTCTACTCGATAAAAATAACTTCAGCTTTTATTTTAGAAGCTGTAACGTTGCTTCTGTCTGCACTTTCTCATTTGGCACACAATTAAAATGATTTTTGATTTAAAAAAAGACAGCTTATACAGTATATTTAAATATTTTGTCATTTCCTGAATTGAGAAAGAGATTAGAACAAGACTTGCAGCCTGAGGCTGGAAAGGCCAACTGGGGCAATTAGTTTGATTTATTACATAACACATCAGCAACAATGACAAGCCTATGGCCTGTCTGTGTTCAGCTAATAGAGTTTATTGAAACAAGTGAGGTCAAGAGTGATTGAGATCCTGTCCGCCCTCTGTGTCTAGGCCCCCTGCTCATCAGCCCCTCTGGTGACTGATCAAGACTCAAGGACTGAGTCCCAAGGGAGAGGGGCCATTCCTTTCCAACAGCTTAGGCTTCCCAGAGATTTCTCAGTAAGCTTTTGTTTGGTCCACTTGCACATACAAAGGACACAGCAGGGGCATCCCACTGCCAGAACTGTCCGACAAGAACCCAGAGTCCATGTTTGCCATCTCTCATTGAGTGCCTCTTTTGCCCTGGTTCCTTGCCTTTGTGTGTGTGCACACAGTATGTGTGTATGCCAGACAGCTGTGCAACCTGTTCTCTCTGGAGGATGACCAAGTCAAAGACACCTGCTGTTTAAGCAACTGACATTTTTCTAACTGTGAGTGTGAGAGGAGATAAAAAAAAACAGATTGCAAGTCCCAGATGTCTTATCAAGGAAATTCCAGCAGTTAGATTTTTTTCTTTTTGAGGACATGTGTTACACATTGGGTGTTTCAATAAGGGTGGAAAGAATGCTAAATTGGAAAAATGTCAGTTTTAACAGGCAAAAAGTAGCTATTTTGCAGACTGCGCAGTCACTTAGCTACATTTAATCTTCATAAAAGGCCTTGTCTTACTAACCAATCTCTTTTCAATTCACTGGCACCTTTTCTCCTTTAAAAGCCCTTAGAGAAATTCTCATAAGAAAAGAGCTTGAAAGGAAAACTATAACAACCTTCTTTGTTCAATAATTCCATAATTGTATGCTATAGCTCTCACCTCTGTAAAGGTTCAATAATTCATTAAAATCTGTTTAAGTGAAAGTAGAAGTTATAATTTTAGATTGTACCCAAAAATAACAGTAAAAGTACAAGCTTGCTTTCAAACCCTGCTGCTCACAGAGTCTTTGTTTGTGTTGTTTTAGCTCCAGTTTCTCTTATTCTCTGCCAGCACCAGTGTATCATTAAAAAGATCAGGCAGCCACATCTGGAGAAAAACTCAACAGCTTCCAGACAAGGGGAGGATCTGTTGCAAGCCACAGCCCAGCTCACTGCATAGCTGTGGTTTCTCTGACTTTGACTCTCAGCTTCAAGAACATCCCTCCTTCCATGGATGGAAACTTGAAAGACGAGATTAAGTTCTGTCTTTATGGTGGTATAAAATTTGGCTCTGGATTCTCAATGGCTTTGTACTGTACATCAAAAAAAAAAATATGTGAATCAAACTGTTTTTGGCACTAAGATTAAACTGTGCTCTGAGTTTTGGACTGTAATGGATATTTTTGTTCTCTCCCAACAGCAGGAGAACATGTGTGGGAAATGTTAGTTATTATGACTCAGCTGCTCCATTTGAAGAGCAACAAAAGCTATTGTTGTCATGTTTAAAAAACATCTGACTTATGTCTGGCAAAACCAAACTGTTATATTTCTACTATACATTTCTTATTTCCTGCCAAGGAAGAAAGACTCCAAAATTTTCTTTTGCAATCAGACAAAAGATCCATCAAGACACTGCCCAGTAATCAACCAACCAGATGAGCAGAGCGTGAGACAGGGATACTGTGATGACACAGAGACATAAGGTTGTCAGGGCAACAGTCAGCGCAGCCAAGACGAGTTCAGCTGTAGTGAAAGAACCAGGGGCAGCCCTGTTTATCTTTGAGCTATTCCACTTAATCTGCTATATTACAGAATGTGAATTAAACCTTATCCAGTTGTGTTGACCTTGAGAGTATGTCACAAAGATAAACTTGTGAGCTCAGAAAACTTAGCGTTCATCACCATCTATCTCAAATCATCACATCAATATTGACATACCTAATATAGAGCTTGCTGCTGTGACCTGCAACATGATTTGGTTCATGTTACTGAACCAAAATATGGTAAAAGGAGTGTTAAGGTTATTTCCAGCAGATGGTGCCAGTATTCAAGAAATAAATTACACAGTTACATACTTTTCCTACTGATACCACTTCAGAAAAGGGCTTCACACAGAAGCTTATGAACTCTCCTTGCAACTTCAACAATAATTTCTGCTTCCATGATAAATATGTGAGGAAGGCTCTGCTGATCTCATTGGAAACTGAGCAAAACAGTAAATAGAGCTGGCTGTATGAAACTATGATTGTGTCTGACTATACTGTATACTGTATATGTATGTATATGTACCGCTCAGTTTCAGTTGCCATCATAAGTGGTGAAGAAATGCAACACCGTAGCATAGAAACCCCACCGCGAGGCAGCATTTTGGTGGTGTAATAGCATAGTAGTGATGCAGACACACCAATGTGCAAGTATAAGTGCTCACAATGGTGTAGGCCACTTGCATAGCCTACGGCATAGGCTCTATATAGATTCAGTGAAGAACCATGAATCAAGCTTTAGTTGACATTACCTGCCATCATAGCTACCAGGTGAACCAGAGCAAGTAAGGCTGTAGCAGGAAAACCTCTGAATGTATTAACTGAGCAATGGTATGTTTACTGCTTATGAACTGAACTTTAATTTGTATAAGAGTGACATTGGTGAACTCCACCTTTCAGAAGTTACAAAGTGCTACTTTAAATCTGCAACAATTTTTGGGGGATCCTTGTAGGCAGTGGCCATACACAGTGAACACACCATTAACATATCATCATATTCATTTATGTCATTTGTCTTTTCCATTTCCATTCTAATGTAAACTTGTGTCTATATGCGTTTTCTCCCAGGGTACTGCTAACCTGGTTCTGCCTCCACAGCACATCATCTTAAACACCTTTCTTTTGTTTGGAGCACGTTCTTTTGTTTTTCCCTAGCTATTCCAGATACCTCCTCAGGCAGACAGTGTGTCATGTCGATTAGACCAAGTTACTGTGAAGCCTCCATCAAGTCCTGGCGTCAACATTCATGTGGAAGAAATAGCAACAGAAGGCTGTACTACATGTTTCTATTAAAAACCGCTGTGTTGTCATTAGCTGCACTGTGTGTAGCTTAGGACCTAAACCAAATGACATTCCCCTCAGCCTCAGTTGTACTCACTGTTTTAGCTTTTAATAACTTTAAACAACACTGATTATCTAGACTGAGCATAGCATATGGCAAAATAAGAAGGTTTTTGTTTCCACTAGGACAAAATCTAGCTGCTGAACAGCACCTGAAATATAAAACTTAATAACATTCCTTCCTTAGATATTTCTGTTCCAAAACATTTTGAAGGTTGAGAAAAAGTACAGAAGGTCCAGGAGAGGAAGCAGCACCAGTGTGATGCTGCCCATGGTGCTGACAGGAGACAGATGGCACAGAGCAGACAGCTGCACTAACAACCTTACTATTTAATTGATAAAGTCCAGAGAGTAAAGAGCTACAGCACGGCTCTCCTGTCTCAGAGAGGGGAAGCCCACAGAATCCTGTGAAATGTATGCAGATTACAATAACTTTATATATTTGATAAATCTGGAAACTTTCTGCAGCAGCTTTTCAAGGCTCCTATTTGCAACCAAAGCTTTCTTTTTAACCTGACCTGTAATTTAAAAACATTCACAGGTGGCTGAACAATGATATTCCTATTGTGTTGCAGAGTTGCCAGCCAAGTAGTGGGGTGCAGAAAGATGGCTTTTAACATTATATTTCCCTAC